CAACGCTGACGGCTAAACTATGCCGACGGCTCTCCCACGGCCGTCGGCATATGCTCCTATGCCGACGGCTATACTACGCCGACGGTCTGACACATCTACGCTGACGTGATCTACGCCGACGGGGCTATGCCGACGGCAGCCGTAGGCATAGATCTATGCCGACGGCAATGGACCTATGCCGACGGCCCTGGGCCGTAGGCATAGCCCGCGAGTCCGGTGGTGACGCGTCGCACAAATCCTATTAATACACTGATATCCATACTTGTTTTCAGTATTTAAGTCAATCACCTCATATTGTAGATTAGCCATAACATTGTGGAAAGTATGCAAATTTAAAAAAATTGCATCAGTGTTTGCAGAAATTCGCTTTGGCACATGGGAGGCGCGCTCTTGCCACCAGAAAAATATATTTCAAAATGTGAAAAAATTCAAAACAAAAATTTGGCGCATACATCTCGACATTATGTGTGCACACGTCAAATTTCGGAGAAAATCGACATATTTTGTGGCTTGTGTAAAAAGGACAAAAATATGACTTGTGAAAAGCACTTTTTAATACTGAATTTTGTCTTTTTCACATGCGACACATAACTTTTCGGTATTTTACGAAACGACTTTGTGAGCATGTACAATATCGAGATGTACATGTCAAATTTTTGTTTGGAATTTTTGACATTTCAAAATACATCTAAAACACACATTTTAAAAATCAGGAGCGTGTGCTCCCGTGTGCCAAAACGCCACTCTTGTTTTGTCTTATTCTTATATGGTAATACCGAATAAGAAGGGAACCAGTATGGTTAGATGATGACCTTGTGCTTTAAAATGTTGAGATTCGACAAATTCAAAGATGGCGTGGTTGAAAGCAGTCCTTTTATTAAACATAATCTTATTTGACCAAATCGTAAATTGGCCTTAAGATTGCAAAAAGTATGCAAATTTAATAAAATTGTATCAATGTTTGTTTTGTTCTTATACAGTAATACCGAATGAGACTGGGAGCCAGTATGGTTAGGTGATGACCTTGGTGCTTTAGAATGTCGAGATTTGACAAATTCATAGATGACGTGGTTGAAAGCAATCCTTTATTAAACATAATCTTATTTGACTGGGACTACGGCGGGCAACTTACTGGCCTGAACCTTCCAATTGTAAAAAAGGACTAATGTAATGTTTGTACCTATTTTTTTTTCAGATTTGATATTTCACATCTAGATGTGAAATAGTATCTCACATCTACTTTTTTAGTCACATGATTTAGACATCAAGATTAGTATTCTTTATTTATTTTTTATTGACTGATCCTTTTCGTGTACGCATTACTTGCGGGGCGCCCGTCGTGGCAGTAGGCCGCTGTTGATCCATTTGATTTTGTTCCTCGTGCATGCCTCCTTGGCTGTTGTGGCTACAAGTGATTTTTTTCATTTTTCATTTTTGTTTCTTTTGCCTTTTTCTTCTTCTTTATTTATTTCTTCCAAATTTCTTAACTTTTTTAATTCATGATTTGTTATTTTTTATTTTCAAATTCTTTTAAACTTATGATTGTTTTCATCGTTGTTAGTTGACTGTCCACCACCAAACGTGGGTTGTCTTTTTTTTTTTCTAAGTTCCAAGTCTACCCTCAACTTGCAATTCGGGCCTGACCTTTTGTCGTAGTTGCAATCCCACCCTTGACTTGCAACTGGACTTTAACATTTTTTTTTGTCTACCTTGCAAGTCCATGCTCGAATCGCAACTGTAGCCGGAAAGTTTTTTGTCCCAATTTTAAGTCTACCCTCGACTTGTAACTGAGGCCCAACTTTTTTTTCGCTAGTTGCAAGTTCACCTTCAACTCGCAACTAGAGCCTGATCTTTTTTAGTCTCAATTGCATGTCGACCCTCGACTTGCAACTGGGGCTTGAGTTTTTTTTGTCCTCGTTACAAGTCCACCATCGACTCACAACTAGACTCGACATTTTTTCCTGGTTGATAGTCTAATCTTGACTCGCAACTGGGTCAACATATTGTCCCAATTGCAAGTCTACCGTTGACTTGCAACTGGGCTCAACCTTTTTTTGTCCCAGTTGCAAGTCCACCCTTGACTCGCAAATGGGGGCCTGACCTTTTTATGTCCCAGTTATAAGTCCACCATCGGCTCGCAACTGGGCCTAACATTTTTTTGTACTAGTTGCAAGTCCACCAAGAACTCGCAACTCGAGCGCGAGCTTTTTTGTCCCAGTTGCAAGTCCATCCTTGACTCGCAACTGGGCCCTGGTCTTTTTTGTCCCAGTTACAAGTTCATCCTTAACTCGCAACTGAGGTCCGGCCATCTTTTCTAGTTGCAAGTCTACACTCGACTTGCAACCGGAGCCCAACCTTTTTTTTGTCGAAGTTCTAATCTCATCCTCCACTCGCAACTGATGCCCGACTTTTTTTGTCCCAGTTGCAAGTCCATCCTCAACACGCAACCTGGGCACGACTTTTTTCGTCCCAATTGCAAGTCCACTTTGAACTTGTAACTGGAGTCCGACCCTTTTTTGTCCGAGTTGCGACACAGTAGGTGCGTGATTTTTTCGTGCGCGACAAACAGACAAAAACCAGTAAGAGTATATTCACCTCGTCGTAAAAAATATATTTACCTCTTTCTAAAAATATATTCACATCGTTCTACAATTTATTCATTGATTTTTCTAAATGTTTACATTGTCACTCGAGTGCTTGTTAATGTGTTAAGTGATCCCTAGTATAGGACGTTTGTGTCCACTGAGAAAGGAAGTCAACACACTAGTACGTCGTTGACGCAAAATTCCTGTAGCAAATCAAAATTCCTGTAGCAAATCGTGTGTCACTGTAGACTACACTGTAGCACTGCGGCTCAACATCAACGACTCAACGCAGCCTAGTGTGTAGAAAATTAATTTTACTCTAGTCCGGTTCGTGCATGGGTGACAAGGAAAAAATGAAGACAAATAAAAAACAAACAAAAACAAAAAAAATAACAAACAGTTGATGATGTCATTATGTCACATCTAGATGAGCTATAGACACACCCATTTTTTTCTATATACACGTACTTTCTAGCTTGCAACGTATCTACATACTAAGTAATGCTACATCAACAGTCCCCGCAAGAAAAAAAAACGCTGCATCAACGGCACATTTCCCACGGATGCAGCTTACGGGTGACGTGGGCGCCCACTGTAAAATCAGGGAGGTTACTTTTAATCACGGTCGGGATTAATCCGTAGATCAATCCGTAGCTACTTTTTTTGTAACTGTAGCTAGCATTACTTGTACGTAATTATACAACTACACCAAGGACTAATTTGTCATGCTATCCGTACACAAATGTACATGTATTTTCAGGGTGGTCTTATAACAAAGGAGAGCCACTACTTGTTTTCGAGTTCATGACCAACGGCAGCTTGGATCAACATCTCTTCCCCAAAGTGAGCAATGGCACCGGGCTACAACAGGCGCAACGCACTGGCACGGCCATTCGGCAATGGGCCACCCGCTACGGAATCGTCAGGGACATTGCTACCGGCCTTCACTACGTCCACCATGAGTACGAGCCGATGGTGCTCCACCGTGACATCAAGGCGAGCAACGTGATGCTAGACTCTAGCTATCGGGCACGCCTCGGTGACTTTGGCCTGGCCTGCACCGTGGATGTGGGTCGGAACTCCGCCACCGGCGTTGGTGGCACGTGGGGCTACATTGCGCCGGAGTACGCCATGTGCGGCAAGGCGACGCGGCAGACCGACATATGCGCTCTCGGGGTACTCATCCTTGAGGTCGTCACCGGCCAGCGGGCGCTGATTCGACAGACGGTGGATGAAGGCGACGCCCAAATCACAGATAGAGTGTGGCGCCTCCACCGTGAGAGGAGGCTAATGGAGTGCGTCGATGCCGTGCTGATCGCAGGTTCTTCTCCGGATGAGGACCCGCAGCACGCTGGAGGTGATGCCGAACGTCTGCTTCTTCTGGGCTTGGCGTGCAGCAGCCCAAACCCGTCAGACCGTCCGAGCATGCCCGAGGTGGTGCAGGTCATCGCCAAGTCAGCACCGCCGCCGGAGGTGCCGCTCATGAAACCAATATTCATGTGGCCGCCGCCGGAAGGGGCAGCCTGGGGCGCTGATGATAGCACGGGCACATGGATGATGAATAATCTCGATGGGAGTATCACGAGCACCGAGCGTCAGTCGCAGTCGCTCACAGCGGTGTCGCACAGGCGGGCTACCGGAGGACATGCCTCGTTTCAACTGGAGCCATGAGCCATCGGTTTACGTCACTGTGTCCAGTGCTCTCGGCTCCGGCGAGAGGCCGAGCAGAGGATAGCATAGCATCCTCCGCATATCATACGGGTGTACAAAATAATCACCCGCCAGCCAACTTATTAAAAAGTCCGAATTTATGGAGGAAGATGGGTAATATATTTCAACACTCCCCCTCACGTCTAGGCTATTTTAGTCCTTGGATGTGGGGCGTTGGCAGGGTCTTGAACTCAAGACCTCTTGGCTTGGATACCATATTAAATCATGCTCCAGCCAACTCATCCAAAAGTCTGAACTGATGTAGAAAATATGAGGTGGCTGGATATTATGTTGTTGTAAGAGTTGGCTTACAATCGCACTTCACACAATACATAAATATAGCATTATATCATCCAGAATACAGTCAAGGTCCGACTACGGAACCAAATAAAGAAAGACAACCCTTAATGCTATATCCCCGATCGTCCCAACTGGGCTCCACTACTGATCGAAAGGAAACGAAACAACACAACGAACACGATCTTCATCGAGCTCCCACTTGAGCTCGATTGCGTCACCTGCACGAGTATCATCGGCACCTGCAACTGTTTGAAAGTATCTGTGAGTCACAAGGATTCAGCAATCTGACACCCGCAAGATCAAGACTATTTAAGCTTATGGGTAGGAAAAGGGGTAGTGAGGTGGAGCTGCAGCAAGCACTAGCATATATGGTGGCTAACTTACGCAAATGAGAGCGAGAAGAGAAGCAACGCAACGGTCGTGAACTAGAAGTGATCAAGAAGTGATCATGAAACTACTTATGTTCAAGCATAACACAAGAACCATGTTGACTCTCCGGACTCCGCCGGAAAGAGACCATCACGGCTACACATGCGGTTGGTGCATTTTAATTAAATCAAGTGTCAAGTTCTCTATAACCGTACATTAACAAATTCCCATCTGTCCATAACTGCGGGCACGGCTTTCGAAAGTTCAAAACCCTGCAAGGGTGTCCCAACTTAGCCCATCACAAGCTCTCACGGTCAACGGGGGATATTCCTTCTCCCGAGAAGACCCGATCAGTCTCGGAATCCCGGTTACAAGACATTTCGACAATGGTAAAACAATACCAGCAAGACCGTCCGATGCGCCGACATCCCGATAGGAGCTGCACATATCTCGTTCTCAGGGCAACACCGGATGAGCGCTCCGTACAACTAAAACCAACCCTCAAGTTTCCCCGAGGTGGCGCTGCAAAGGACTCTAGTTCGAACCAACACTTAGACAAGAATTGACCCGGGGGGGCTTAAAATAAAGATGACCCTCGGGAGCGCGACTCCCAAGGGAAAAGTAGGTGGTGGTGAGGCAAAAGGTAAACCAAGGTTGGGCCTTGCTGGAGGAGTTTTATTTAAAGCGAACTGTCAAGGGGTCCCCATAACACCCAACCGTGTAAAGAACGCAAAATCAAGGAAAATAACACTGGTATGACGGAAACTAGGGCGACAAGAGTGGAACAAAACACCAGGCATAAGGCCGGGCCTTCCACCCTTTACCAAGTATATAGATGCATTAATTAAATAAGAGATATTGTGATATCTCAACATATCCACGTTCCAAAACATGGAACAAACTTCATCTTCACCTGCAACTAGCAACGCTATAAGAGGGGCTGAGCAAAGCGGTAACATAGCCAAACAACGGTTTGCTAGGAAAGGAGGATTAGATGCTTGACATGGCAATATGGGAGGCATGATATAGCAAGTGGTAGGTATCACGACATAGCAATAGAATGAGCAACTAGCAAGCAAAGATAGAAGTGATTTCGAGGGTATGGTCATCTTGCCTGAGATCCCGCAAGGAAGAAGAACGAGTCCATGAAGAAGAAAAACGGACGTAGTCGAACGGATCCTCACAAACGCGATGTTATCAGAACTAACCCGAAGAAGCAACACCGGAAAGAAGCAAACAACATGGTAAACAACCATCACATAAGCATGGAATGATGCGCAAACAAGTATGATGCATGTCCGGTTTAAAAAGGCAGGGCATGTCAAAGTGCACAAGCAAACCTACAAATTAAGTGGAGCTCAATATGCAACGAGTTGCATATTGACGAAACACCACATGACTTATTTAGTTCTCTCCCGTTTATGTAATCAACAATATTAAACGTTTATTATCATGGCAAGAGGTGAAGCAAAAGAAAACTACCTATCTAGGCAAGTTTAAATGAGGCCGGAACAACAAACAACAAGTCCGGAAAATCCTCATGTACATATTTATGGATTTGGTACTGTTCTGTCCTAAGGCATATTTTAGAATTGTTAAACATGCAAAGTAAAGCCACCATGTTAAACTACGCATTTTTCTACCCCAAATACATATAAAGTTTATTAAGTTTGGAGCTACGGTTATTAAGTTATTAATTAAAGCATTTTAACATGGCATAGGAGCAAATTTAACCAAACAGCATTTTAAACATTTTAAACATGGATGAAAGTGGCATATTATGAAACTAGACAAAAAACTAAGCATTTTACATATAAAGTTTGTTTTAATCCGATGCACGGTTTGTGAGTTATTATATGCATGAACTCTAGGGACTTTTCTGCAAATCTGGCAGTCTCAGGAAAAATACAGAAATTCGCAGAGCCTTAAAAAAACCTATTCGGGCCAAAACTGGCAGGCTGGCCCAACAGGTAAAAAAACACAGGGGAAACGCTGGGGTGTGGCCTCACCCATGGGCCAGGCCCGGTTTGGTGGTGAGGCAGGCAGGCTTGAACTAGGCCTGGGAGAGGCCGCTCGGGGCGCGGTCAACGCTCGAGGGCAGCGCACTCGTCTTCGATTCAGAGGAAGCAGGGTGCGGCGGCACGACTGGACAGCGACGAGGCAGCAGCGGAGGGCGGCGTCTGGCGCGAGATGGCTGGCGGGCCACGCGGTAGATGCATTTGGACGCGGTCAACACACGCGGCTAGACCGGGCAAGCGCTCCCTGATGCGTCGTCCTCTGCTCAACAGGGAGCAGAGCAGCGGTGACAGCAGGGATGCAGCGGCTACACAATCCAGCGAGGACGACCTGCCGGTGCGGTTCACCGACGGGACGAGGGCGAGGGCGGAGCAAGGCGGCGGCGCTGGCGACGAGGTGGAGGTCGGGGACGGCTCGGTGCGGCGGAACTTATGCGTTGGTTTGTCTCCTGGACGAGGCCGAGGCGAAGGCAGGGAGGAGGAGCTCGACATGGGGCTCCTTGGGCACGAGGTTCAGGCGGGGATGGACGCCGGCGATGCGGACGAGGTGAAGGCCTCCGGCGAAGAAGCTCTAGGCGGCGGCGCTGCAAGATCGTGGACGCGAGCGTCCATGGTGTCGAGTCCCTGCTAGAGAAGGGAGAGGCGAGAGAGATTAGAGAGGTTGAGAGAGAGAGAGAGAGGAGCACGGGGAGCAAACGAAGAGAAGGCAGGGAAGAAAATGAGCGGGACAAGGCCGGCGACATGGCCTGCTGTTGCTGTTGTCGCCAGCGGCGTGGATGCGCAGGCGGTGGGGAGGCGCTGGTGCTCACGATTCACTCGGGATCAAGTAGAGGAGGGAACAGGAGGCAGGCTGCGAGGGGATTTGGGCAGGTGGATGGCTGCAGCGAACTGGTTGGGTGGCTTGGGCAGGGGAAGATCCCGATGGGGATTTGAGTGTGGCGGCGACGGTGATGGGTGGATGAGACATGAGGCCTAAAATTTAGGGTCAGGGGCTATATATAGCATGTAGGTAATGGAGGGGGATTTGGATCATCGGATCAGGATCGAACGATCGAGAATAAAAGGTTAGGGGAGTTCAATGGAGAAACGCAGATATTTTACGGATGTTTGGGGATGATCTGAGTCCAACGGTGACAACTGTCTAGGTCGGGTTCGAGAGAGTTTCAGACACGCGCGAGGGGGTCGATGCACAGTACAAGGAGGGGTTAGGTTGGCTGCAGGTGGGGTGTGGAGAGCGGGTGGGTCTGAGAGAAGAGGGGAGAGATGCAGCCCGGCATGTTTTTCAGAGACCGAAAACGTCCGACGAAAAGACCGGCTATACTGCCGCTATAGTTATCCGTTGCGGCATCAAACAGACTCCAAATGCGATGAAACTTTACAGGTGGTCTATCTACACTATAATAAGACCACACGCAAATTTTCATCCCATTCCGAGAACATTTTCTGGCCACCTATAAAATAATATTTCGGACGTGCGGCGGGCGCGTGCAAGTGTGTCTGGGCTTAGAACGGACAACGGAGAGAAACGGGGAGACCCGGACAGATGCAAGTTTTGAAAACATAATGATGCAATGCACATGATGACATGGCAAGATGCAACACGCAAGCAAATGACATGGCAACAACAGTGAAAAACTGGAAGACACCTAGCACATCGGTCTCGGGGCGTCACACGTGCCCGGGTAGAACATGTGCATGTTGTATGGGAATATCAAGGAGGGCCAGGGCTTCCCGAGTGAGCTTCATCGAGTTGGCCGGGTCTATCTTGTCCCCATCATGCGTCCATCGATTGCGTGAGGTCCAAATGGACCACATCACAGTAACGATTGTAGCACGCTCTCTAGCCGAGAGCCCTGGTTCACATAAAATGTCAGATGCCCAGGTTGTGGGGTGTAGCCTTGGTATTTTGATGTCCAAAAGCTGGCGTGCTTCATCCCAAAATCTCCTGGCAGGTGAAAAAAACATAAGAGCATGTTGAAGATCTTCATCATGTGCCTGACAAAGCTTTGCATATGCTAGTGTCTCGGATATGACGATATTTGAGCGTGCATTCGTCCGCCAGTATACCTCGAAGTACCCTCCACCAGAACACACGCACCTTAGGGACCACCTTGAGAGACCAAAGAGCTTTCCACAACTGTTTTTTGTTCGCTGAAGCTTCTGTAACTGGCCCTTCTTCACGAGCTTGTTGCTCTTTCTGAATCACTAGAGCTCGGTACGCTGACTTGACAGTGTAGTTGCCTGTCCTCTCATGTGCCCATGCAAATGAATCTCCCC